TCTCACCTGTAAAACAAAAAATAGAATAAAATCCAGCATTCTCTTTCGAAATAACCAAAACGAATAATAAAAACCTGTTTGTCATCATTCGAATAATGAATATTTCACAGTGACATTTGAAAATCGGTTAACCTTAACTGCATAAAAAATACTCTTCCAAGTAGCGTGTACGGATTTGTTCTATTTTTCATTCCCTTATACACTCCATAAGCATTTTGAAGAGGTTTACTTTATTTTCAGTAGTTGAACTTGCCTGAGGTTCTATCGCCTGAGCAGTCTACACCTAAGCTCATAATTTTCTTACACATTCTACACACGTGGCATTCCAAGTTCCTAACCGCTCCCACAGCGAGTACCTGAGGTTAGGAACCATCGCTTAAAACGAAGGTGTTCGCTTACGGGGAAAAATAGCTTCTTCGGACTCTTGCTGTGGTCTTAGCAACCTGAATTCGTTTATTACGAGACCATGGTTAAGGATCTGAACCAGAACCCGTGTTTAAAACACTTCACGACGCGAAACCTCAGGACTCAATATTGTCATCGAAGGTTAGAAATTAGCTTTGCTCCCAGATTTTTTTTTTTCGTCCTTCGATCAGAGTCGAATCGGAAGTGTGAAGTGTGACAGCTACACGCGGTCGGATCTTTAAAATGGTTGGGCATGGTTGGGCATGTTACCGGCTCTATGAAAGCATCTTGTCTAAAATTCTTACCTTGGGGTTACTCATTTTCAACCATACTTTTTTTCTCAGCAATAATCGTGACTAAAACTAGAGATTTTTCTCCATTTGTCTTCACGTAAGATTTATTCCGTCGAGTACCACGTGTACAACCGCCCCTGTTAAGACATATAATTCGCTTCATCTCAAAAACTAGGTACATAATCATCCCGCAGCAGATGGGTAAAATTCTAAAAACCACAACCAGAGGAAAACGAATTAAAATTTTGTTTTAGATACAACGCAGTTCATTATATTCTATTTATTATTATTATTTTTTTAATGCACATTTTTAACGGTCGCGTGACGTCACAAGTCCATTATCCCCGCCTTAAAACACCACAAAAGTATTAAGAGGCCTAGTTTTACTCTAAATTTCTTCTCCACTTACAACAAAACAAACTCATCCCAATACCGCAAGTAAATCGGAAATTGAAATAACTTTTTTAAATACCAAAATACTAGAATTTATTAGCCTCAGAATCAAAAGCGTCCTTTTTACCCGTGTGCATTTCTTTCGCTTTCGTGACTTTTTAAAGATAATTTCGCAACGAATCCAAAAGCAAGTACTAGAACTAGAACCTTCTTTCTGGACAAACGATCGAGAGTAAATCAACTATATTACCTCGTCTTGAAAGGGATTTTTGGGAGAGGGAGAGCTGAGGCGTGTGTGGGCGTAGCGGCCGATTCGACGCGACTGAAGGTTTTCCTCCAAAATGGGTCACGTGATTATTTTTTTCTCTTTTGAATAAAATGGGTCACGTGATTATTTTATTTTATTTATTTATTTTATTTTATTTTTTGGATAAGGCGGTTTACAAGGGAGAAAAAATGATGTTTAGATGAGTAAGAACGAGAGTAGATGGGGATATAATTGATTGTTTTATCATGGAGAGAATTATGATCATTAAATAAAATGTATACAAGATGAGTCAATTCTTCTGCCAAATGGGTCACGTGATTACTTTATTTTATTTATTTATTTATTTTTTTTAATAAGGCGGTTTACAAGGGAGAAAAAATGATGTTTAGATGAATAAGAACTAGAGTAGATGGAGATATAATTGATTGTTTTATCATGGAGAGAATGATGATCATTAAATAAAATGTATACAAGATGAGTCAATTCTTCTGCCAAATGGGTCACGTGATTATTTTATTTTATTTTTCTTTTTTTTTCTTTTTTTAATAAGGCGGTTTACAAAGGAGAAAAAATGATGTTTGGATGAATAAGAACGAGAGTAGATGGGGATATAATTGATGGAATGTTTTATCATAGAGAGAATGATGATCATTAAATAAAATGTATACAAGAGTCAATTCTTCTGCCAAATGGGTCACGTGATCTACATTTTTTTGGCTGATATTTCTTTTCTTTTTTTTCCATAGTACTGGATCCCAACACATTATTCTGATAAAGTTAGGATATGCTAAATTCGCAGTAATTTGAAATGATCATCCGAAATAAAAAGTTCCGCAGGATTAATGACTTTTTAAAAAACTTAAATTTCAAGACAAAAATTGTATGCTTTAAAGTCATGTCCAAATTATTTTATGTTTGAACTCTATTTTATCCCGACTTTATTAGTATTATCACAGTTTTGTTGTTGGTATAGTTTTAGTCTGATTTTTGTCATTATTATCATTTATTCCGGTGTTGTTATTATATACATTCTCTTATGATTAAAATATTCACCTGTTTCCTTTTAGAAGCTGCCTTTCAGTATCTTTCTAAGGCTCTTCATATGGCACTGGCGATCTTTTTTGTTTGTTTGTTTGTCAAA